CCTTTAAACCTAGCCAAAAAGCCATATGTGTTGACATTTGAAACACAGTAGACTTTAATAATATGCATTTATGGTGTAATTACTACATTTTCGTGTCAATCCATGTTCATATTTACTGCAAACAATGCGCTGTTACTTTAATTCAGGTTGCAGCAATAGACTCGGTCTGGAAACGATCTCTGCACTGCTGTAGACGCACCGCTCGTGGAACGCACTGCCGGACCGCAACCGTCTGCAGTGTGCACGATCTGTTAACATGAGCGCAGAAAAAATACGCACCACATACGCACTGCAAACGGAGTAATGTGAACCTGACATTATGTGTGTGCGCTGCGAGTGGGCATGAGCACATGGTCTCCAGGAGAGCCCGCGAGCGCTGAATGGTTAAACACTGGCAAGAATGAAAAAGTAATGCAATTTATAAACTTTAGTGACGATGTGACACTGCCTCTTTTGTGCAAGTGACAATTCCTGTGTCAACTGTGCAGCATGCAGCTCGCTTATAGACAGACACCATGTGGTGATTTGAAGACATTTGCGTATTTTGAGAGAGAGAGCGCACGGTGATTCACTCGCGCTGTTTGTGAAATTACGTCTCACACAAGGTTTTCAAATTACTTTATAAGTTATTTAATTAAGAAATATGAAGGTGAGTACCTCACTTTCAGCATTATAATTATTTCACCCGCGCCGGACAGAGACTGAGACGGTGCCGCTGCATGTTGTGCCAAACCTTCTCACGGCAGTGTCATCAGCTTGAGATCGGCCTTTTTAGAGACCGCCGATCAATCATCCCAAAGCGATTATCGGCCGATAGTGATCGGTAGCCGATCAATCGGAGCACCCCTACTCCTAAGTGAGCGCAAGAGAAATGAGGTGAGGGGAGGGCTAATTGGATTTACATGTGCACAATGCTAAAATGAGTGCCTTGTGAAAGTTAGCTATTTTCTACCCCGTTTATATGTTGTGTGGAATCCAGAGTTGGAGGGAAAGTGTAAATTGATAAACGTCTGTCTCACAGAATCTGAGGCAAATTTTGGTGTCATGTTTGATCCTGCCTTGGGCCCCTTGTGAGTCAAAACTGCTGCTGTCCTTGCTTTTATGTGTGGTTTAGACTTGAAAAATGAGCTTCTGGCACCACACAGTTTTTCTTTTACATAGCATTATTAGTGTTTTCTCTGCCTGACATTCAGGAAGATGAATGAATTGCATAATCACTGACAGTTCTAAAAGTGAACTGGGTGAATCGTATCATATTTTTAGATGTTACAGAATCAGGCTAGATTTTTTTCAGTCAGACTACTGTATGCAGCGTTTGTATGTGTTTTAATATTTCTTTTTATTAAAATGTCATAACACTTTGTATATATTTATATTTTTGATTACACAGTGATGCAGGTTTCACAAACCTTAACACAAAACTCGTTTCATTTTGATAGAAATATCTCTGTTATTTGTTCATGAATTGGATTAAACTGGTCACAGTCACACTGTGTGTGTTTTGTGTCTTGGTTTGATTTTGTGGTATGATCAGTACAACCTTAGGTAGTTTAGTGTTATTTTGCATATTTTACTGTAATACAGTGATTATACTGGATTAAAGATGGCTTCTTTCTCTGTTTGTGTCAGATGGTGAGTGAGAAGGTTGGTGGTGCTGAGGGAACTAAACTGGACGAGGAGTTCAAGGACCTGGAGAGAGTAAGTGGAATGTATTTTCCCACACTGCAGCCAACAGTCTTTCTAAAAAACATTGATTTAAACACATTAAGTGATTCAAAGACTTGATCTCTGTCCCACACATCCATCAGTAAGATTTTCTACACCACCTGTGTTTTTCTGGAAAGTTTCTTTTGCTTACAAAGTGAAAGTGGTGTGGCTGTAGTGATCCAGCAACCCTCTACATTGCGAGTGAAACACTCGCGTATGCGACTAAATGATGTATAATATTAACCAATGGCTAATAAATTCTTAGATTTTACTCGCCAGTGTGTGAGTTGGAGGCTGAGTATAAGTTTAGCACAGATATATTTTCACTCGCCAAACACTCTGACTGAGCGCTTCAGAGTTTCACTCTCCGTCAAGCGATCTGTGCTATTTATCATTTCATCTCAATGGATGCGCAGCGCACTTGTGTTTGTGTATTTGGCGTAACATAAACTCTGAAGGCGCACGACTCGCTGACGCTTTCTCTCACACGCGCAAAGTGAGAGAGAGAGAGAGAGAGCAAGAGCAAGAGAGTCTTACATAACGTGCAGAACTGATGTGATACATGTAAACGATATTCTTTGTTGTATTTTCCTGTCAAAATAACGGAGTTCCTTTGGAATTCTTCAGCTTTTAAGAAATGCCGGGTTTTCCGGTAGTGGGCGGAACTAATGCGCAAACGACTAAACAAAAAAATTTACTAGCCAATGGTGATTCAGTTGCCAAGGTGTCCGTAGAGGGTTGTCCAGGATAATTATCTGAAATGTTTATTCACTGCAGTGTCTTAGCATGATTTTTTTTTAAATTTAATAATCCTCTCCTCTATACCTGAGTGATGTCATCCGTTCTCCTGAAAGCACTTTGTTTAACACTGAACATTAATGGCTTCACAGATATTGCCTCTTCATTCAGTTCTTCTGTAATTCGATATTTTAGCAAATGGTTTCTTAGAATACTAGCACATAAAGAGGAATAAAAAAAGCAGTGTTCTGATAGATCTAATGTGACTAACTGATAGGTTAGTGTGTCTGTCCTGGTTGTGTGCGTGTTCTCAGTGTGGTGACTTCCCCTCTGTGTTTCTATAGAAAGTAGATGTGACAAATAAAGCTGTAATAGAAGTCATCTCTAAAACATCAGAGTACCTGCAGCCCAATCCAGGTAAGACCAAAAATGCTCTTGAAGCTTTTATGTTATCTTTGTGCCTATTTAAGGTTTGTATACATTATAGTCCTTAAGCCCAAAGTGTACTTTGTTTTTTTACGGATATGCATATGGTGTGTGACACAAATGTTTATCATCAGCATAGTGCTACATCCGCCATGTTTCTCATTCGTCATGTGACCTATGGCGTCAGTTGAGTCACTTCACTTTTATTCACAAATCCTCTCCTGTGGCCTCATGAGATGATAAAAATGCCCATTAGATCTGCACTTCACAATCTCATCAGTAGTCTTAAATTAAGTCAACTTGGAACTTTTCACCTACTGTTTTATGAATACTAAGAATTCGGACATATTATTATTCAGTTCACATACTGTTTTTCAGTTACCATATAGTATGAAAGTAGGCATATTCAGAAGCAAGTTTAAACAAGTTTATTCCCAACTAGTTAAAACAAGTGCAGAGACATTTTATCAATGCTAACATCTGGAGAGATATGGCGCAGGCACTGAGCAAGGATGAAACTTTATAGCATGCATGTGTTGAGCGCCTGTGTTCACACACGCTATTAAATGCTTTGAAAGGCTGTGTGTTCAGCTGTATACATGAGCCTAAGCTTCTGCATCTAAATAGATGTATACTTTTTCTGGCAGAACAGATGCATACAATAAACATTATTGATCATTACTGTAAAACATTTTTTTCCTTCCGTTCCTTTCACACAGCATCTCGTGCAAAGCTCTCTATGTTGAACACCATGTCTAAGATTAGAGGGCAGGTGAAGAGTCCAGGTTATCCACAGGCAGAGGGGCTGCTGGGAGAATGCATGGCAAAGTATGGCAGAGAACTCGGAGAGGACACAAACTTTGGTGGGTTTACAAAATGAGTGCAGCTTTTGAAACCTCCGAGATTTTGTTTGTGATTCTCTTGCTAACCATATGTACAAAACAACCGCATGTGTGTCTGTAGGTGGTGCTCTAGTTGATGTTGGTGAAAGTATTAAGAGGCTAGCAGAGGTGAAGGATTCATTGGACATTGATGTCAAACAGAATTTCATCGACCCTTTACAAGGCCTGGCTGACAAGGACCTAAGAGAAATACAGGTTTGCTTACATTCTCTGTCTCACACACATATATAATTTAAAAATACCTGTATAATTTTTTATATGATGCCCACATTCAAAGAAAAAATGTGCAAAAATTGTGCCGTTAGGGGTACAAAAGCTTGTCATTGGGGCAGTACCTTTAGAGTAAGGTTCATAGTAGTACCTTAAGGGTACATATTACTGCTATAAGGCAATAATATGCACCTTTCAGCTGTAGATAAGGTACAAAGATGTCCCTTCAAGGGTACTGCCCCAGTGACAAGCTGTTGTACCCTAAAGATGCAATTTATGCACATTTTGTTCTTGAAGGTGCAGATAAACAAGAATTAAATATCTGCAGTTTGTTTTGATTTAATGATGAGCTGAAAAGTAATAACCTCTGTACCATAAAGTATTCCTTTTCCTTCTGGAGGAACACATTTTATATTTAGAGTTCATTTCCTTAACTATGTTTCATGTGGTCAATTCCACACCAGTAGTATTGAAATGGAGAGTTTCCCTCTTTCTCAGCATCATTTGAAAAAGCTCGAAGGACGCAGGCTGGATTATGACTATAAGAAGAAACGTCAGGGGAAAATTCCAGATGAAGAGGTCAGGCAGGCTCTGGAGAAGTTCCATGAATCTAAGGAAGTGGCTGAGATCAGCATGTACAACCTTCTGGAAACTGATGTAAGGATTTACCATCTGACAGCTTGTTGCTTCATTTGGTGTTTTTTTTGTGTGTTTTCTGGGGGGTTGTGCTAATCCTATTAGCAGCACTGAATAAGTCAGTGTTTGTCTGGAACACCTTGCCTTACTGATTTTTGTACCAACTGTCTCTATCTTAAGAACTTTTGGCAAAGGCTGTCATTTTAGAATTAGCAGTATTGAAGATGAAACTTTTTCTGTCCTTTTTTGACTCCAGCCCATCCGTGGGGTCAAGACAGGTAATCCAATAAAGCTGTAGTGCAGCCAAAAGGATAAAAATCCTCTTGCTTCATGGCTGTAGCTTTTATCTGATATTTTATGGAGATGTCAGAGTGCCATCTATTGGTTGAAAATGACCATAACTTGATGAGGGAATAAACATCGGCTGGTGGAGTCTATGGAAAAAGACTATTTTAAAGCCATCAAGTGCTAGATGTAAAGTAATACACTGAAGACAGTATGGTACAGTTTTAAACCACAGTAAACCTTTAGTGTGAACAGCTAGCAGAGCTCCCAGTCTAAATATAGCAGTCTAGTGAGACTAGTGTGAACTCAAGGCCTCAGAAATTACTCATTAACTAGGCTATTTGCTTATGAATGTTGTTGTGATTTCCCTGTGTTACCATAAGCGTAGATGTGCATGAGTGCATATTTATATATTTAATGTTTGTGTGTTCTTGTGCAGATCGAGCAGGTGAGCCAGCTGTCATCACTAGTTGAGTCTCAACTGCAGTACCACAAACAGGCTGTTCAGATCCTGGATGAGCTTTCTGACAAACTCAGAGACAGGTGTGTATGTGGGCACGTGAAATTTGCAAAGCATGTGTGTTTGTTCTTTGTTCTGTCGAAAGAAGCAATATATGACTCTTATTTAACCAACCAGGATGAAAGAAGCTCAGTCACGTCCTCGTAAAGAGTATGTGCCCAAGCCCAAGCCTGTAATTGACTTTGGAGACACCAACGAACAGTCAAACGGTGGCTTCACCCCGGCATCTGTTCCACCCATGCGCAATGCAGGTAAGACCAGATCATTTACCTGCTTAACACAGTCATAAAATGCCTATTTTACCAATTTAGCTGTTCCTGGATGAGGATATATGATCTTCGTTACATTTGAGGAAATGCCTTGGACTTGAGGCTGGTGAGAGAAAGGCACATTGTGCTTTGTGCCGTTGCGGCCCGGTGGCAGGGTGTGATGAGACCGCCTGTGCGTGTGGCGGGATAGGCAAGACAAATGGACAGCTGTCAGCTGCTCTCATCGTCAGCCAGTGACCCTGTTCTGTGTTCTCTTCTCATTACGTCATCAGAGCCATACCGCCAGTTTGGCAGAATATCCACGTGGAAACCCAGATTGCGTGAGTCAGAGAGTGTGTGGCTCTGTATGTGTTTGCATGGGAAAGTTTGTGTGTTTGTGTGTTGGGGGTGTAGGAAAAGTTTGGGAAGGTGCAAGAATAAAAGTAGGAATGTGCAAAACTGTACATTGTTCAGTATATAATCATTATATTTTACCAGATATTGGATATTTAATTGTGCATTTTAATGTCCAATATTTGTAGACATTTAATTGCTCTAAAAAATGCATTTAATGCTCATTTAAAGATAATTTAATGACACTGTTGAATGTAATCATTAGCTAATCTCAAAATGAATATCCATTTTACTTAACTTAATACATACATAATTTAATGTACATTAAAATGTTGTATACGAGTAACTTTTGAAATTTCTAATTTAATATCTAGTTTTTTTTTTTTTTTTTTTTTTGTAGACAGGACATTATAGAATTTAATAGGCCATTTATCAGTTATCAGGCATAAAATAATTATGGGCTTATCAAATCAACTTGAATTTTAATGTCGTTACATGTCTGGCATTTTTATATGGAGGAGAACCAAATAAGAATGTGTGGGGGAAGTTACGCAACAGCACAACAGCTACAAAAATGTGCACATCATAGCAGCCAAAACAAAGGGGCAAGCAAATATACCATAATTGTTGGTTGAATTTGTTTTCTGTAACTCCACTATTGGTGGTGGGGATGATAATTTTGATGTAATGCCTCTTAATTTCACTTCCATTGATTATTTACATCTACTGTAGATGAGTTTCTATAGCTGTGAAATGTGATTTATAAAGTTCATGAAAGGTTCAGCTCTTCATTAAATGGTAGTTTATTGCACTGACGAACAGCAAACTACAGGTTACATAGTGTCTTGTTGCAGGGTATGTGTGCTGGATGCGTATGTAAGAGAGGGCGACTATGAGTATCTCTCTCTGTGTGTGTGTGTGTGTGTGTGTGTGTGTGTGTAAATGTGCGCATGTGTGTTGGCCTCAAGCACAGATTGCTGCTCCACCTAACAGAGTGATCCCCTGCTACAGACTGAAACTGGAGGTCTTCTGTCACATGACTACAGACCCAGGCTTTGGCACCCGACCCCTCACTAAAACAGAGCACCTCGTCCTAACCCAGACGGTTGTAGTGAGATTAAAACTGTGTTAAACACTAACACATATTTCACTCCATGACTGGTTTGACAGACTGGTCTGGGAAAGATTAACATTTTGATTTACTGCTATGAAACATTGTTATTTTTATCGTCATTTATATACTATTTTAATATTTTTTTAATTAGCTTTTATTTTTGTATTTTCAGTTTTCATTTTCATTTTAGTTCAGTGATTTTACTGTGTTTTTGTCTATTATGTATCAATAATTGTCTATCTATAATTTCTATATGGCTTTATTTTAATTTCCGTTTTAGTTTTAGTAATTTTAGTATTTCAACTTAAACATATCTATTTCAGTCGGTTGCCTTGTCGATGTTTCTCATTTTCATTTAAGTTTTCATCTGATATTTATATTTTATTTCAAATTTATTTCAATTACCGAAAACAATTTTAATAATTTTAGTTAACAATAACAATACTGCTATTACGCATTAAAGTGTTTAAAAAGCATTCCATTGGTACTTTAGTGCATTTCATTTAAAATTAAAAGAAAATTGTTTTCAAATATGATAAATATTTTTTTTTTTTAATTATTTAATTCTTTTTTTCCCCAAAAATGTAAAATTTTTATTTTCTACAATTAATTTTGGGTGTGTATACATATATATGACATTTTAAAGTTAATAATTCCTTTAGGACTCTAATCCTTGTCTTATTTGTTTCCCATGAATGTCAGATATTTGACCCATGAGGATGTAATAGTTAAATTATTGTTATAAGGCCAACAATATATTTCATTTTTAGCTTTTACTTCCTCCACTGTATACTAACATCCCTTATTCCCAAAATCCCACCTTAATATCCCATTCTCATTCAATCTCTCCATCTCTCCTTTTAGCAGCGGAGCAGCCGTGCTGTAAAGCTCTCTATGACTTCGATCCGGAGAATGAAGGCGAATTGGGCTTCCACGAGGGTGACATCATCACTCTGACCAATCAGATCGATGAAAACTGGTATGAAGGCATGCTGCGTGGCCAATCTGGATTCTTCCCTCTCAACTACGTGGAGGTGATCGTTCCTCTGCCACACTAAGAGGTCTTCGTTGAGGAAAAGAGGGGAGAGAGAGAAAGAGCAATAAAAAAAGTGAAAAGGAGAAAGCTGGAGGGAAGTGAGGTAGGGAGAAAGGAGCCAGTTGAAGTCATCTTGGTCTTCATCCTCACCACATTGTTGCCGTTGATCCAAATATACCTGTACTCTGGCACTTTTACACATTGATTTATTTTTTGAAGGAGGGAACTTTGGGAAATGATGACCTTTCACATTCCAGGACTGACTGACTGACCGGTTGACTGACGTATGGACGTTATTATAACCTGGTCCTTAAGTTAACATTTCAGACACACTAACTCACTTCATTGTCCATGTCTTTTAATAATGTCTCATACTGTTTGTGCTGCATTAACTGAAAAGAAATGACTACACACTATGATATCCCTGTGGTGAAATTATCATGTTTTTAAAGAGTAGACAGGCTTTTCTTAATCAGTACGAATTCTCAATTGTTGGATTGTGAGAAGTTGCATTTTACTCGACTGGTCCCCTTGCTGCCCCTGCTGGTCAGGCTGGTCATTGACCTTCCTCAGATTAAGGAGAAACTGCCTTGTATCTGTGACGAACACGTGAGCACTGTGGGGCTGTGCGTGCAATGTCCAAATGTGCAGCAATCCTGAGCCACAGACCTGTAGAAAGGAAATAGTCCTTTTGTACGCTCCATAATTGTAACCTTTTTCTATAGCTATTTGTCATCTAATATTTTTTCATGTATATTTTTACAAGATATTAGAAATTAGACGCTGAATTACACCTTGGATTATGTCGTAAAGGTGAGCTAAAACACCTAAGGGATGTGTTTAGTCAGGTAGAGAGGGTTTTACTGCACTACAACCGTTTTGAAACACTTTGTGCCCCCCTTACAACTTCTAACTCACTAAGGGCGGCAGACAAACCATTTACACACTGTTTTCTGAAGGAAACACAGCCAAATAGTTCTTCTTCCGGCAGCCTGAATAATAGTCTTCCTCTCTCTTTCTCCTCTTAATGTCAGTTTACGGTAGTCTCTACATCTGATGCTGCTGGCAGTGTCCCGTTATTTCAGATGTGTATATGTGGGCGTGGTTAGGGTGGATGTTGGCTCATAAGCCCCATATTAAAGTCTAATTAACACAGAATGTTTTGATATTTAAAAAAATATCTTCCCATCTTCAGGGATGGTGCTACATCTCTTGCTCTCTCCCATCACTTGCAATGTATTTTTAGAGCTTTAAAAGTGATTGAAGATCTAGTTTCTTCATTACTCAGTGTTCCCTAGTTTTTAGGATGTTTTTTCAAAAACTGTTCTGTCACACTCCATAAAAGCATGGACCTACACACCCTCCACCCCGACTCCCAAGTCCTGTCTGCATAGAGCACCTATGTGTCCTTTTCCTCTCAGCATCTGTTTACATGTTTTGTCCACGGTTTGTTTTGCTCACCGTAACCGTAGACCGTAGTAGATGTGCTAAAGCAGACAGGCTACGATCACCGTTTCAATGTGAAAAGAAGCGTTTTAGTGCCTTTTCGATGGCAAGAATGGATCTAGAACACCAAACAAAATATTAATTATGATTTTCGAGCTAATATGTAGTTTCTGTCTGGCCTTTTTCTTTATTTACGAAGGGCTTGTTGGTATTTGACATGAGCTGTGACCAGATGTACAAGCATGTGTACAGATGTGCCTTTGCAACACTACAAGTTTAAGAAAACAACAAATGAGTTATTTCTGTCTAATCGAATGTGGCTACCAGAATGATTTACATGAAAATAAATCATTCTGGTACTGCTCTTTTTAGTATATTTTTTATATATGCATACAAAACCATTCAACCTTTTTTATTAATGTTTTTTGCATGTTAGCTTAATAGCAGGCTGATGTATGTTGTAGTTTTAAAGTCTCCTCTTTCAGATTTAACTGCATTATATTGTTATTCTTAAATATCTTATTGTGTCATCTCGTCTTTAAGTAAATAAATTCAAGAAAGTACTCCATTTGTTTCACTTGTGTGAGTATGAACTGTTTCTTTAATTGTATGGTAAGAAAAACATTGTTATGAGGTTAGAAGCCAGAAGCAAACGGAATCGGCACATTTAATTTGTTCCAGTGTATATTTTAAGGTATTCAGCAGGTAAAAGGCATTGTTCCCATATTGCGTAGTCAACATGGCACAAATCTAACCACACAAACAGATAAAATACTAGCCAAAAGAGAGAGAGAGAGAGAGAACTCAATTACCCAGCTTCTTCTCTTTCCTAACTACCCACCAAACGTTTCTACCACAGAGGAAGACAAGTTTCACAGCACAGATATGGCAGAATCGTATAAACCACAGCCAGTGATGCAGACCTAACAGTCCTAAAGGCAACAGTTTGAACGGAAGCATATATGATATATCCTCCATGAAGGCATTTCATATACAGTATAACAGTGCACAGACGGTAATGCACAGGGCGGGAGGTCCCAAGTCAACAGTTCTACAGCATAACACAAATGCACAGATGTAAACTGCTCCGGTCACGGAGTGCTGCGCAGCTGGTTGTACACGTGCTCCAGGATCTGTGCGTACGCCTGGTCTTTGGGTGCGTGGCCACTCAGAGAAGCCTGAGGATGACAGAAAATTAGAATTTCTTTAAATACTGCTAGTCAGACATATAGTCATGCTTTGCTGCAAGATGATCGTTAAAGATACCAACTCTGCATAATGGGTAGAGACAACTTTTAAGACATTTGCAGGTTGATTCTTCTGAAAAGTATACACTTAAGTATGGTAGCCCGTTTCCACCTCAAAATAAAAAAATAAAGGTCATTTTGACTTTCTTTTTCTTGCAATTCTGAGTTTACATCTTGCAATTCAGTTTTTTTTCTGCCATGTAATAAAAAAATGTAATTGTTACACTAGCTCAAAATTCAACCTTTTTTTTTTTTTTTGCAATTGCGGGTTTATATCTTTCAATTCTGAGTTTATATCTCACTATTCTGCATTTATATCTCGCAATTCTGACTTTTTATTTTTTAGAACTGAAAGAAAAAAAAAGTCTGAATTGTGAGATGAAATTGCAATTACCTTTTTATTTTATTTATCCTGCAGCAGAAAGAAGCTTCCATAATTAAGTCTGTGCATATGCACTTTAAAGGTTTGATTTCAGTCAGACTAAGGCAATCATTTCTTTCTAAAATGTCAAGTAAAAGCTTTAGTTCAGGGGTGGCGAACGTCGGTTCTGGAGAGCCGCAGCCCTGCAGAGTTTTGCTTCAACTCTAATCAAACACACCTGAACAAGCTAATCAAGGTCTGAACGGTTACTAGGAAGCTACAGGCAGGTGGGTTTTAATTAGGGTTAGAGCTGAACTCTGCAGGGCTGCGGCTCTCCAGGACCGGAGTTCGCCACCCCTGCTTTAGTTCTTCTGAAATGACATCAGATCGATTTTTGAAATTTATGCTATCAAAACATCGTATACCAACCAGTCTGACATAGCAATACTGGCTCTAATGTGACTTTGGACTGTCCCCTTTGTTGACACTAGTGGCATTGGAATTACACACTTTACCTTAATGTTAATTGTAAATCATGAAAATTTATATTGTGTTTTGTTTGTTTGTGTATGTATGAAGGAGAGAAATTATAGCAGACCTTGATTTTGTCGAGTACTGAGGAATTAGGACTCCACATCTGACTGAACTGCACAAGGTCAGGAGCAGACCGATAAAACTCCACCAACAGCATCTATACACAGAGATATAAAAATAAAACGCATATCGGTCTAAGCTTCTCATAAGACTTCATACTGATTAATTCTACAGGATGTAATTTAGACGCTTTAATCTAATCTAGACTGAGGTGTTATCTATAGCTGCAGGAAACTGAAGAGACAACCAGTGATTTGCTTCAAAAGCTACTATTTCTGAAGCATGCTGAACTATAGAAGAGATTAAAATCCCTGCTTTCCCAAGATGGACATTGTTGCATAAATTTAGGATGTTAGTTATTATCGTACCATCTCATTGAGTACGTCTGTAGTGAGGAAGTTGTCTTGCACGTATGTGACCTCTACCGCCACTGGGATGCCGTAATCATTGGGTCGTTGCTAAGCGGAAGAAGAAAATAAGAGCAAGCTAATATTTTGGCATCAACAGCAAAAAAAATATCAGTAAATGTTTAAGAACAGTTACCTCAGGAGGGGGAACTACCCAGAATGGCGTGATGGTGGAGGCCACACCTTGGTTGCCATGGTAATAGGGTCCTATAATTGGTGGACAAGGAAAAGAAAAGACATAACAGATCTTTTTTTTAAAACAATACAGGCTGTGTTGCGTAATAATCATCTGGGAAATCCATCACGCACCACAGATAATCCCCAGACAGGGCTGGAAGCCATTACTGCTGCCTTGTAGGCGGAGCTGGTGATCCATCTGTGAATCTATATCCTGCAGAGACGGAAGGGCGGGGCCTCGTGGGTGACTGTGATACCATCCCACCAATGACAGCCCCCGCATGAAGAGATTTTGGCAAATCTGCAACACATTTTTAATAAGGTAAACTGCTCAGACCATGTTACTTCACTAACAAAATGTTTTTTTGCAGACTAACCTCTTCTTCGACTGCTGGAGCCGCGTCTTTATCTGCCAGCCGCGTACGGCAAGGGAACGCCCTCAAGACTGTAAGCACTGAGGAACATGAAATATACATAAAATAGTATATTTATACGAATAGTTGAAAATGAATAGTTTATAACCTCCAAAGTTTGTACAGCAGTTAAAAAAATGATCACCCTTACACTGGGTGTTAGTGTCCCATCGGCCCCCTAAATACCCCACCACCTCACTTGTGGTCAGGTGACAGTGAAAATCCTATGAATAGAGGAGAGTAAAAAGGTTTATACTGTCTTCAACTGTTGACACTATCATTAGTATTGACTTTACTCTTTATTGTAAAATCATAAATCCATGAGCACTTCATACCATTAGCAGCAGAACATTGCTGGACACTGCTACATTAAAAGGCTGGAAGCGGTTGATCGCAGAAAAGGCAGACAGTTCTACGAGAGTGTGAGGATCCCTGTCAAGACAAACACAGGAATACTCAGGTACACTTTCTTTTGGAAGAAAGTGTATTTATTTGATAAAAAAAAAACTTTCATATTGTGAAATATTAATTCAATTTAAAATAACTTTTCTGTTTCATTTATATTTAAAATGCAATTTATTTATGTGGTGGCACAGCTGCATTTTTAACATGCTATTACTCCATTCTTCAATGTCACATGATCCTCCAGAAATCATTCTAATATGCTGATTTGGTGCTCAAAAACCATTTTGTGTTGTTATCAATGTTAAAAACAAGGCTTTCTGTTTCCATCAGTGTTTTTCTGCCTCAACTTAGAACCGAACAATTAAGCTTAAGGGCCTCGGGCGGGTAAAAGAAGGTGCAATAAATGTAGTTTAAAACGATAAAACTGTCGTATAAAAAAGAAACATTATATTTGTAATGTAATAATTACCTTGCAGCATCTCTAGTGCCAAGAGTGCAATACCTGACTGGAATTCTTTCTCTGTCTCTCCTCTGCACCAGGCTAATGTCTGGAGAAAAAAACAACAAAGAGGAAATAACATATATAAACAGGCCAAGTCATGCCC